TGCCTTGACCCATGCAAATGACACCATCTCATGGTAATAAACATTTGTACGCATGAAGATAGGCTCTTCAAAAAAGAAAAGAACAGATATGGTAATAATGTGACATCATTAAATAGTACTTGGGATGCAATTTATGAAAATCCGAAACAGGATTTTATGAACAATGCTTAGATCTTATCCAGATTTATCTCTTCAACACAAACCAAATTTAGCCAAAATAATCTTGATGTTCATTTTCCAGATTTCTCGATATTTTCCATTCTTTAAATCAAATATCCTACTTTTATATACACACACATATAATATATGGAAATGCAACTCAAATACCATTCATCCTTTTTGGAGATTATTAAATTCAAGATTGACCATTATAAACAATGTATAGAAACAATCCATAAAACTCACTAAAATCACACCTGCCTCTTATGGCTTTAAGCCATATGGAAGTTTTTTCATGATTTAGCATATTTCTTTTATCTTTAATAACACCGTTGAGTTTTTTTCTCTTTATTTATTTAGAGCTTTACAAACACAAGCATTTATTCTGGAAATTCAAAGTTAACGTCTTTTCCTGTAAGTTTCTTGTACACAGCTGTAAATGTGTCCAACTGAAACAAAAAAAGAAAGGCATTATAAAAAGTACCTACACAATTAGATTTTTTACTGTCTGTTTCTCATTAACTAGATCATCAATGTGTGCATTATCAGATATGTATGACATCAATTATAAATCAGTCATATGCTTGTCAAGATTATTCATCATATAATGCTGCTTTCACTGAATTAATACTTAAAGGTCAACAGCCCTGTTTCCACTCTTTTATGTCAGTTTGACATAAAATAAACACGGCACAACAATCACAAGACCACTATTGAAATCAAAAGTGATTTGTCTTTACTGCAAATATAGAGCCAGATCACCATGCACATTCATGCAGTGTAACCAGGCTCAATACTGTTTGGACTTTCAATGGTCTGTTCCAAATTCAAAGCTTGGCCATTATAAGGCTTTTTTTCTTTCTTTTATAGCAGTGGCTGTTTAAAGGCCTCTTCCCCTCTTGAAAATTCTTTAAAATCATGCAGTTTTCCCCAAAAAATTCTGTTCGTATCGTTTATTCTTACGCTATTACAAACTAGAAATGTGTCATCATGCCACGGATGCCCCCGCATGCAGCCAAAATTTCAGATGTTATAATATTTAGTTCCAAATTTGTTTGCACAAATTATTGTTTTCATTTTAAGTTCAAAGCCCTTTAAACTTTTCAATGTTAACACAAACCATTTTCATACAATGTTCAAGGCACTGAAATTATTCAGTCTTATCCTTTTGAAAATAGCATATTTCATATTTGTAGCCAAAATAATGGCTACATACATTTCCACAAAAGTATGTCAGTGCTGAAACTGAAAGTTCAAAATTTTATCCAATATTCAAGAAAGATAAGTTTGTCCAAAATCATTGAACCACGACCAAATTCAAACTTAAACTGTCTATTCCTAAGATGTATCTATATTATTTTCAAAGTGAAAGGGACATAACTCTGCCAAAAAATCATCGAACCATGACCAAATTCCAACTTGACCTGCCCATTCCTTTGACATATCCATATGTCAAATTTGAGTTGAATATGTAACACTGTTGGGTAGATAATGAACAGAAACTGTAAATTTCATATTTTTTTCAAAGTGAAAAGGGCATTACTCTGCCAAAAATTATTGAACCATGACCAAATTCGAACTTGACCTTGGCATTCCAAAAAAATATCCATATGTCAAATTTGAGTTGAATGTGTTGTACTGTTGGGGAGATAATAAACAGAAACTGAAAATTTCATATTATTTTCAAAGTAAAAGGAGCATAACTCTGCCAAAATTCATCGAACCATGACCAAATTCAAACTTGGCCTGTATTTTCTCATGACATATCCATATGTCAAATTTGAGTTGAATGTGTTGTACCGTTGGGGAGATAATGAACGGAAACTGAAAATTTCATATTATTTTCAAAGTAAAAGGGGCATAACTCTGCCAAAAATCATCGAATCATGACCTTATTCGAACTTGACCTGTATTTTCTCATGACATATCCATATGTCAAATTTGAGTTGAATGTGTTGTACGGTTGGGGAGATAATGAACGGAAACTGAAAATTTCATATTATTTTCAAAGTAAAAGGGGCATAACTCTGCCAAAAATCGTTGAACCATGACCAAATTCGAACTTGACCTGTATTTTCTCATGACATATCCATATGTCAAATTTGAATTGAATGTGTTGTACCGTTGGGGAGATAATGAACGGAAACTGAAAATTTCATATTATTTTCAAAGTAAAAGGGGCATAACTCTGCCAAAAATCATTGAACCATGACCAAATTCGAACTTGACCTGTATTTTTTCATGACATATCCATATGTCAAATTTGAGTTGAATATGTGCAACCGTTACTAAGATAATGAACGGAAACTGATGATGACGGAATGACAGAATGACGGAATGACGGAAGGACGGAATGACGGAAGGACGGAATGACGGAAGGACGGAATGACGGAAGGACGGAAGGACGGAACGGGGTAACACTATATGCCCCGGCCATTACATGGCGGGGGCATAAAAATACTTCATATTTTTCCAACTTTGAAAAAAAAAAAAACCAATAAACAAATTCAGCAGGGCTCAATTTAGGAGAGGGTTAATAAATTGAGGTCAGAACAGATCATCAGCATTATTTATCAGTTATATGCTTGTCTATATATGCTCATCATATCAATTTTCCCAATATTTCAAGTCCAGATAGTGAAAAATAAGTCGCAGTTATGATATTGAAAAGAAAATTTACAGATTATCATTGCATTCATGTCAAAATGATCAGAACAAATCATCAGCAATGTTTATCAGTTATATGCTTGTCTATATATGTTCATCATATCAATTTTCCAAATATTTCTACTTACAAAATGGAAAAAGAAAATTTACAGATTATTACTTAATTCACGTCAAAATGATCAGAACAAATCATCAGCAATGTTTATCAGTTATATGCTTGTCTTCAAATGTTCATCAGTTCATTTTGTTATTTCATAAAACTATTAAGGATATTGTTAGTTCAAAAATATTTTGCTCTTCTCAGTGTAAGAAATTAGGATTTGAATCAACTAGGCTGGTCAGACTACCAGATTGGAATATACACTAGCCCAAAAAACATTTCACTAGCATTATTCATTTGTTCAAAACAGTTGTTTATATTGCCTCTGAAAATGCAGTAGTCTGGTCGGGCTTGTTACTGTGAAAAGTTGGTAGCCCGAGGAGAAATTTAGTAGTCTGGGACTATAGGACTACTGCTAATTTCGAACACTGTCTTCTTGTCATTTGTGATGAAAGCTTGAATCTGATTTTAACCACTCCAGTCTTTCAGGAAACCTGGTTATTAGACACATTTAAGTTCTTTAAAAGGGTTCCTAAGTTTTATTTAGAAAAATTAACAAAGGTTCTTCTTGGTGATGCCTATATTAATTATCTACTTCACAAAGTTTTAACCTCCAGTTGTGAAGTAGGTAATTATTATTTAAATGTTTCCAGAATGATTTTATATAGTATTATAACACTACTTTTCAGGAGCAGGCAGGTTTGTTGGGTGGAACTGACCTTTGTTAGCAACATCCCTTCAATAATTTGAGTTTCTTTTACTGTATATCATTTATGTTTAGGATCAGAACAACATATCAGCACTGTTTATCAGTCATATGCTTGTCTTTGTTTGTTCATCATTTCTTAGTTAACATAACCTGTGTAAAAACCATAAACCTTCTTTCTGCTTATATAACCTGTGTAAAAACCATAAAACTTCTTTCTGCTTATATAACCTGTATAAAAACAGTAAAACTTCTTTCTGCTTACATAACCTGTGTAAAAACAGTAAAACTTCTTTCTGCTTATATAACCTGTGTAATAACAGTAGAACTTCTTTCTATTAGCCAGCCGATTGATTTTCTCGATATATAAAATGAAAAGTCCTGATTCCCCCCCCCCCCTTTATATATTTTTTAACCTTACCACTTGAAATTTTGAGGTGTTTTTTTCCAATGAGTCCAAGTTTTTACACAGTCCATAAAGAATTAATCAAGAACGTTTTACCCTTAACAAGACAAAACCTTTGATTTACATGACACTTAATCCCCAGAAAGAAAGATTTTTTTAAACCTTTTCTAGAGTCCAAATGATTACCAATTAAACATGCATGTTAATTACATCTAACAGACTTTGTATGCATTCCTATGTGCAAAAATATGTATAAGCTGGTTAAGTTATTGCCCTTTCCAATAGTTATGCCTTTCAAAAAGTCACTTGCAAACTTCGACAGCTTGAATTCTGGTCATTTAATTAAGACCGATACACAAGTCCAGATGCCCCGGAAATTCTTACGCAAGTCTCTTTCACTTTGATTTACCAAACTTCAACTATGCTTGTTATAATCCTCAAATATTTCGATATTACAATTGCCCATAAGAGAATAAGCCTATGGAATAAATGCTGGCAGTAACCTTGTGGATTAAGTAAGGGTGGCCAAGTGGTTTAGAAAAGTTGCAATATGGTTTATGTAACATTGTACTTTACCCCTTAACAAAGTAAATATAGGCCCTATTGAGAGCACTTCATAAATCAAAAGTACTGACAAAACATAGGAACAGGATTTCAGAGTGGTTCAAATATTTTTTTTTCAGATTTCATCACAAACTAAAATAGGTAAGCTAAATATTTCTCTTATATTTCAAACACTTCCAGACAGTTGAGTACATATATATATATCATAAAATTTTCCTCTACCTTGTGCTCAATATTTGTTTGTTGTGTTTTCTCTAAATGAACCTTGATGAGTCTTGAACCATCCAACTTTATTCTGATACGTTTACCAACAATCTCTGATGGAAAGCAAAGATCATCCAATATACATTCATGTACAGCAGTCAATGTGCGGCTACAAACAAAAAGGTAATTGTTTATAAAATACACATGTATCCAGCAATTAAACAGGAGATGCTAAGTTTCTGCAAAAGTATAGAGATTTAAATATGTTCAGCTATTCTGAGTGCTTGATAGTAAAACAAGAGCCTGGATATTTTAGAATTTTCCAAGTTAACAAAGGGCTTTAATTCTTTCAAAATCCATGTTTATTTATTGACCTTAAACAGTGTCAATGTGCTCTCAAATAAGTGTGTAATGTTTCAATCCATTCCCTGCAGTAGATTTGGAGATACCAACCTACACTCAAAAAAACTTGCTGTTGCAGACATCTGGGCAAGTACAATAGCTCCCCTATTCATTAAATAGTTGAGCTTAACAGAGCTCCAGATAATTTTTTTGGCCAAGGGGTTTTTACCCCTCAAAATTTAGAGTGAGGGGTAAAATGCAAATTCTGAAAAACTTAAGGGGTAAAATCTGTCAAAAAAGCATTTTGCATTTTTTATAAACAAATTAAACTTATTGTTTTATTTGTTTGTTTGTTTATTTTCTTTCTTTAGAAAAACCTTTACAAATTAAATACTGATTTAATGTGAAACAATACAAAACATGCCATGTAAAGTCATACTTCCAAAGTATACTGGAACTCAAGTTTAGGAAACACAGCAAAATTATCAGGGCTTCCATTTTCAAAATTTGGAAGTCAAAGACTTCAAAATCTCTGATATTGGAGGTCACATTATATGGGTAAAGAAGGAAAAGTATTGATTTTTGGAAGTCACAGGACAAAATGATAGAGTAAATGACTCCCAAACTTTCACTAATGGAAGCCCCGAAATTATTTTATTTTCTAGGAGTCAATAGTTTTCTTTCTTTATTTCTGTTGGCATGTACCTTGTCATGTACTCCAGTTTGAACAATTATAGTTGAAATAAGAATTAAAGAAACATAAAGAAGACTTTTTATCTTTCCTTAAAAAAGTATTGGTCTGAGAGAAAATTGTCCGTAACTGTAGACAGGGTACGAAAATATTGAGTACAAAACTGCAGATGAAAAACATGTTATTTTGTTCCAACAACAAAAGTTAAAGAAATTAAAATATATTTTTGTTTATATTGAGGCATAAGCATGTTAATAAGATGCCTAAACAAACGTAATACTGTGTTAACTCCTACGATGATTATCTGGCAAAAATTTATATCAATAATTTCACAGGTTGATTTCCGGGAGTTACCCCCCTTCCGTATTTCCTGCTACTTTCGTTTTTAACATGCAGACTTCCCGAAATACGTCGGTCCGACGGACATGTCCGATAAATTTTGATCAGGTCCGACAATTTTTTATTCCTGATCGGTCCGACTGTCCGGCTTTTATCCAAGCCGCATGTATACAAAATGGCGTCGCTAAAGGTGCCAAACCTTGGAAAAAACGAAAATCTACGTCAGAAGAGTGCGCAGAACAGCAATAAAAGGATGAAAAGAATAGACCTGAGACAAAATTTAATGAAAAATGGAAGCAGAACCATGAATCATTGGTGTATGACAGGGAGGAGATGAAAATCTCCTGTACGGATTGTGCCGATTTTTACGGCAAAAAAATAAAAAACAAAAAGTGTCTTAGAAATACAAACACAAGTTTTTCGTTGATTTTGATCAATTTTATTTGGTCCGACAGATTTTGTTTCGGTCCGACAGATTTTCATGGTTTGTCAGACCGAATGTCTGACAGTTTTTTTCAACTTTCGGGAAGTCTGAACATGCGTTGTTGACAACAGAATTTTTAGTTTTCAATGCAATAAAATGGAAATATATTTTATTTTTATGCTCAAAACATTTTCTTTCTACATATCAAATGTTTACACTTATATTCTGTCACGCATACATTTTGACATACGAGCGTATTTTCATTTTGTTGTGCGTAACTGTGACGCACGAATTTTGAAAGTGATGCGTATTTTAGATTTTCTATGCGTATTTTACGCTTATACGCACGCTATCTGGAGCTCTGGTTTAATATTTATAAATTTTAAGCTCAAGAGGATCAAAAATCTTAAATAAGTCTGCCAAAGTTATGCAACTTGTTATATTTGATGCTGCTGATAAGGAACAACTCTTCCATGTTTAACAATAACCTCTTTAAAAGTAAAGAAAATAACTTGTATGTTATTGTCATCACATATCAACTATTTGTTAATACTAGAAATGATTGAATTGAAGAACTAAAGAAAACACAAAGAAAAAACAAAAGAAAACACTAAAGAATGTCCATATTGTGGGGATATGAGGAAATCACTTTACCTCCTGGGTCTCTTTTGCTTTTGCTTATTCTTGGTTTTTCTGGTTGGTTTTGGCAGTATACGCCTCTATAATAATAAGAAACAAATCATATTTTAAGCAAAATTGATTGACCCAAAGTGCAAATCTGAGTTTGAATAGTAATGTTTCTCAAATCAATCAATAAATTTGGTACCAATTCAAGTAATAATGTTACAAAGCAATACAAAAATCATAACTGTAAATTTACATCTTTGCATCTTTATGCTATTAAAATTCTTCGACAGAGTGCAAAGGAAGCAGCTATTACTGCTAAAATTGTTTGCATATACACAAGTGCAACATTGTTTGCATATATAGAAGTGTAACAGTTCAAGGTCAAACTGGTACTCCTTAATATTCATTTATTGCCAGAATAAATACAACAAATAAACCATAACTCAAGTCAACATACTCATTATTTTGTAAGACATTTTAAGTTCTCTATTCTTCTAGCTCAGATATTGTCAGTTACTTGTTTCTTTTAGCCTGTTGCTTTTTTTTTACATCTAAACCAAGAAAAACTATCATGAAGTATTGTTTTTAAAAAATACCACACGCTTTATCATCAATATAAAACTTCATATATATCTAAGAATATTGTCTATCAATGAAAATGCTATAGATAAACTTTTTTAAATAACAATTATTTCTATAACATTCATGATATAAATTTCTGAAGAAAACTTGTTGTAATATTCCAGTAATACTTGCAACCTTTTTTGTTCAAATTATATTTTCTGATCATATCTTGGCCCCCATAAAAAGGGGATAAAAGATTTTCTAACATATATGCATCTCCTGTTTGCATATTTTCACAATGTTTTCAATAATAGTTGCAACTTACAAACCTGTGCAATGAAAACTACATGTTTTCCACTGAACTTCTTTTCAAGTTCTCTCACCAGACGGGTCTGGATTTTTTGGTAGCTTTTCAACTGTGGTACAGCACAAAGATAATTATGGCCTTCTTGCCAGCAACATCGATCTCCTGTAAAAATCAATATGTTGTGAACTGTGAAATTATAGGCATAAGTCTGCAACATCTTCATGACATGAAAAAAGGAACATGAAACTGTCTTTTCTTGAAAACAAGTCATTTGAAACAATATAATTAGATAGATTTACAAAAGTTATTAAAATCAAGTTTTTTAAATAGTAAAATGATAACACTACACTTTTAAACTTATTCATAGAAATCTTTTATGCAACATAATACTTTATTGATTTATTTCTAACAAATATAATATATTTAATCTTGCTGCTGTAATGTAAAGTTCTCTCAACTGGGCTTTTGAGATCACTGTTCAATCTCCAGCTCTAGAGAGCCTGCAACAGAAATAAATAAATCACTATAAAATCATGACATAGGGTTTAGAACATTCTGTAAATAAAGAAAATCCAAGAACTGTTCAAATATCTCACACTTCATCTTAATGATGCCAACTTAAAAATCGCACTTGATCAGTGATAATAAGCAGATGCAGTGGGTTTTTCCCCACTTCTTTTGGAATGGTGCAAGTACTGACCAAATTGGCCAAAATGTGTTATTTTGAATTGGGAATTTTAAATAATATCCCAGGTACACCTGGGAATTTGTTTTACCCAGAGAAAAATGACAATTAAGCAAAATATACACTTAAAAACCATGTTTATTAACAACTTTAAGTGATTTAAGCGAGTACAATAAAATGAGTACAAAAATATTTTTAGATCTGAAAGCACAAAATGAATTAGGTATGAATATTGCTCATGTGGTTGTACTTGTTTTTCTCTTGCAATATGGTCCAACACATTTTAAAATCGGACTTATAAGAAAATAATAAAAATAAACTATGATAGATTCTATTTACCTGAGATATTGAGGACTCGAACTCATCAGGCTTTTCACCCGGAGGTTTTACAATCTTAGCTCTCGCCGAGTACATCTGAAAATAAAAGCAATAACTAATGACTAATTTTGTACTTTTAATAATTCAGGACATTTTCACCCTAGCACCGGGGGTATACAGAAGGCTGCAGTTCCCATTTCCAATCCAAAATAGCTTTTTCCCCAAATTCAAAAAAAGATATCTCAACACAGGGCTTTTTTTCACAAGTTGGGGAAGCAGCCCAGCCCTTAATTTTGGGGAAAAATTACATGGTATATTTGCAAAAGGGGAAGAAAAAACTTGATGTAAATTCAATATTTGGGGAAAACTGCATGATTTTAAAGAAATTTTCTTTGGGGAAGCAGCCCTATACCGGCCCCTGTAATAGAGGGTAAAAAGGCCCTGCAACAGTCAAATTTTATGAGAAATAGTGAACTGTTTCGACTTGCTTCTTTCCCAAAAAAGCTAGGAAACATCCTGTAATTTAAATCTATTTGCCTTGAATTTTAATGAAATTAATATAAAGTGTACAAAAAATTATATAAATTACATTTGCACTGATTCCTATTGGATACCTAGGTAAAACAGTGCCAAACCCTGCTACTATAACAAGTCAAGCCAATATCAGTGTTTCTGCCAGCTCTGATTTTCTGAGGGGTCTTTTATGACCCCCTGTATGATATTTTAGGGGTCATTTCAAATTCATAAGGGTTCATGCCAATAAATTTAACAAAAATGTAAAAAAAAAAAACAGGTAACACTTTATAAGTTTTTATTTACAATATTTTGTATATTTTTTCGTGAAGAATTGGTCAATCTCTGCTATTTTGGATTATTTGTCATCCAATAATAACGCTGTATTTCTTAAAAATTATGTGTGTGTTAATTTTCATAGAAGAAAGAAAGTCGAATACTATATTGAAATTTGTTCATAGTCGCCTTCTATTTTTCATAGTGCTTCATAGTACCGCCTAGTGACGTTAATCAAGGCCAAATAAAGCTTGACACTAAATATGTTAGTGTTCATCCTTAGCTGTTTTACAGAAATTAGAAACATCTCCTGTCGCTATCGCTCCCTTCGAAGTTTCTAATTTCTTGTAGAACAGCACAGATGAACACTAACATATACGCAGACTGCATTTTCCAGCAGACAGTTATTCGTTCGCAGAATTATGACTTTTACAAAAATAAATAATTTTGTCTGGCGGCTTTCAATATATGCAGTAACGTATATAAATGCAAGCGTTTATTAACTAGTTGAAATGGCTAAATGAACGCCGGACCACAGGACCCGTAAAATTTCATTTCTCATTAAAATTATAGTGGATGCCCACGGTAAACATTCGTACATTTTATACTGAATTGACGGTTTATAAGTCTGTATATCTGACTTGTGTTGAATTCTTGCAGTCACAAAATAGCGCACTAACTAAATTTCATTGCGTCATGGGCCTGAAAATAGTGCAGCCAAAAACGCAAAAACGCCGCTCTGGCAGAAACACTGCAATATGCGGATATGTTGAACTACCAACACAATTTATAAGAATTTTCAAGACAAGTTTTTAAAACGATAAAAATATTCCCCTAGATGCATTGAACCCAGGTCTAGGATTTCATGATATTTACGGCAGTCTGTTAAATTTTTGGACAATCCATTAATTTTTCAGGTTTTATATTCATAAAATTTACAACATCAAGTGAAGGAAATAGTAAAAGTTTGTATACAAAAAAACTCAGGTTAAAATGAATGAGGTTACAGATTATATGATTAAAAATGTTAACAGTCATTGTAAGATTCAGAAACAAATTTGAATGACTTTCAATTTTCCACTTTTAACAAATATTTCAAAATCATCATACAAAGATGGAAACGCACACCAAAGCATTTTAATACAAACAAGTCAATAAAACAAACTTATCTTAAGCTGCGGATTTTAATGTAATACTAAAAAACCCAGCAAATTTTACATTGGTATTATAAATTTATGGACCAATCCATAAATATCATAAAATCCTAGAACCTGTTCAAAAGAATTAAATTTTGATTTTGTTTTTAAAATGCTATTTTCTCTTCTATTGAGTCTAACTTATTTAATTTGGGTGCAGTGAGTGACACAGACCTATGCCAAGGCAAATTGATACAATGGTCGATTACTAAATTTCATGACATACTTAAAATACATAGGGATTTACTGTTTAATCGCATATATGCTACTAACGTTTCTCTTACAAAAAATTTAAGATTAAATGACTGCATGTTAGATATGAAATTTAATTCGGATCATAAATCAAAACATAATTCAACGGGCAGCATTTCGTTTCATTGGATGAAAAAGGCTCGTTAGGATGGCATCAACTGGCGGCCCAGAAAAGTCAAATGCTCACCGAAGAAGTGCACGTCCGGATAGTAAAAATATATAACCATCATTGTTGAGGCATAGGAATTAGTAAAATAAATCATGTGTTTTGCTGTTTCAGGCGGATTTTCGAACAAGGTATTAATTGTATGTACCTTTCTGTATTGGGATAACCGGAAAAGGAAAGTTCACTTGCCAATGAGACTGGAAACTCAATAATCCTTTGGAATAAAAACATTACCGTACTTTTACCGGACAAAATCCCTTAAAAACTTCGGATGATAATTTAAAAAGCAGACTTGATAGTTTTTTTGTTTGTTTGTTTGGGGTTTACGTCAACACCGACACTACGTATAGGGTCAAGTTTCGGCGACGTTCCGCTTTACTGGTGAAAGAAGACCTTCAGATGCCCTTTCCGTGCATTATTTTCAGGCATCGAACGGGCACCGAGTAGAACCACCGCAACCCGTTTCCGTAAGCTAGCTGGATAGCTTCCTACATGAAGGAAACCAAAGGGTTCCCTTTCGGGGATTCGAACCACAGCGGGGAGGGGCAAGTTTAGTTTGAAGTCAAAACGACCCTTAACCACTCGGCCACGGAAACCCCCAAATTTCTGACAGAAACTAATATGAAAATATTACCAAATTAAACCTTAAAAAGAGAAAGGGGACTCAATATATTTTTTAAATAAAAGGCCAGAAAAACACTACTATCTAGAAAACATATATTTAGGCATCGAGTTGGTGGTTCTTATAATTAACGCTCTAGATAAACATTGTTAAAGTGCCGAGGTCATAAGAACTACAAATATTAAACCTATTGGGGGGGGGGTAGTTGTCTTCCCCAATATTGAACTCATTCAAGTCCAAATCAAATAAAATAAAAATGGCTTTTCAAAGAAGTTTAATTCTAATTGCTACCAACCAGGTAGAATTATCTAAGATGTCACGTTGTGGAAAGGGTAGTCAGACTAATATTCTCTCCCTACCAGTTCCTCCCCTGACGGTTTCCTCCCTGCACTGTTCTCTCCTATTTTGGGGAAAACCGTCTGCATATTTGCAAATAAGCAGACAGTTCCTCCACATTCTTATTTTTATTAAATTACATTATTATTTAAAAGTATTTCTTTTTTTCCCATTTTCTCTCCCTATTTTTATCACTTTACATGAGATGCAAATAAATTGGAATATTTAAAAAGTCAGTTTTGTTATTAGTTTCGAAATAATTTATAATACCGGAATTAATAATTTTTATTCTTGTGTAGTGTTAAATATATATTAGTATACTTTTGCAGTGCCAGAAATAAGTTTTTTCGTCCAAACTTAACTATAGTTGAAAAAGCAATTTATGTAAACATTTATGGCATTCCGTTCAGGTTCACAAAACTTGCTAGAGATAGCAACATTTAAAAACACAAAAGTTAAATGAGAAGAGTTAAAGAAAAATAAACACACCGCCTAATAATCTTTAAAGGAAAAAAAAGAAATTCTTAATCGATTGATAAATTATACAAAAAAAATTTGGGACCGAAACCTCAGCTGTCTTGCATTTGATATGTTTAACTAAAAAATTTACCACACAACTTTACCTAGGCCGCCGTTACGCCGACAGTATGGTAAATTTGTCGATATTTTAAAGTTATATGGCAAGGCCGCTTGACTTAAGATATTAAACACAATATGATTAACTGTTTTACACCGTTAAAGTGGACTTGACCACCGCGTCACAAATAATTATCCTAAACCCACAGTTAGATATAAATAAAGGGTATTTTATTATAAATTGATTAAATTAAGAAAAAAAAATATTTTAGTTGAATTGTTTAGATTTTAGATAAGTTGTAACTTTATTATCAATTCATATAAATTAATGTAGAAAAATAACTTTAATGAAGTATTAAAGAGGTTTAATTCATGTTTCAATTTTGTTACATTTATCAGCAAGCCAATAAATGGGTAAGTTTATTGTTAAAAAATTTGATATAAAGTTCAGAGAAAAAAAATATATTTATTGAAAATATTTAGACGTTAAATAAAATTTTGGTAACTTCATTATCAATTATATAAATTTAAATTAGATTTTTTTTAGCATACCAAAGTTAAATTATTTCTGATCTTTTTTTCATTTGCTTCACTTATTTTGTCTTTGCACTCTTAACTGAAAATTTTTCATGGCGCTGAAGCCAGACTTCGTAATTCAATTCATAATAAATATTTTCTGAGGCGTATTTGTTTATTTTTATAGAACCCCCAAAAACCCAAAAACCCCTTTTGGGAGCACCCTTCCCCTATCGTTAAGTGGGCGCGACATTTGGGTTATAAAAAAGGTTATTTTTTATTTTTTTTAATAAAAAAATGTTTAAAATTTTTTAAGCAAAAATGAATTAAAGAAATTTTTAAATTTCTAAAAAATTTTATACTTTTTTATAATGAAAAAAAAAGGGGTTCAAAACACCATTTGTTAAGTTTCTGTTAGTGGGGTAATTGGGGGGTTTTTTAATTTATTAATTTTTTACTCCCCGAAAACAAGGGGCTGATTAATTAAAAATTAAAAAAACAAACTGGAAAAAGTGTTGAGGGAAAAAGTATTTTTTCAAACTAGACCTTAACATAATTACAGGGGTCTAAAACACTGTCCAATAATCTGTATCTCGCAAAAAATGAAGGTGTTTGATAGGATTTAAAAAAAAAAAAACAAAAAGGGGCCATGAAAGGGCCCAAAGTTTGTTCACCCGAAATTATCCAAAAAATCATCCAAACCAAATTTCTTTGACAAAACATTCCCGACCAAAATCTATGCAGGTGAGTCAAAAAGTTTACAACCCACAGTTTTAACAAGGAAATTTTCCAATTTTTGAGCAGTTTCGACCTTAAATTTTTTTCCCCGGTGGGCCAAAAATTCAAATTGACCTAGAAACATCAAAAACAACTTTCAGGGCCAAAATTTCCAGGATACTTGGATCAAAACAATAGCAATTGAAGTTGGGTTAAAAAAAGATTTTTTTATTTTTTGCTCCGGTGACCTAGTTTAAAAAGCGATTTGAACTCATCCCCGCAAATTTCCCAGACAAGCAAACTGACCCGTTTGATGATAATTTGGGGTTTGAAAATTTTGACCATAGAAGTTAACAAAGGTTTTTCCATAATTTGGGGGGGTTTGAACCCAGTTTTTATCCCGCATGACCCCTGTTCGATCTTTATTTAAAACAAAAAAAACAAACTTTCAGGGGCCCCAAATTTAAAAAATATTTGGGGTTTACAAAAAGTAAACCCCTAGAGTGGGTTTAAAAAGATTTTTTTTTTTTTAGCTCCTGTGACCTGTTTTTTATCCCAAAGTCCCCTGTTCGATTTTTCCCAGCAATGACCCAACAAGTTTCCTGACCAATTTGATGAAATTGATCAAAATTGTGACCACTAGATGTTAACAAGGTTTTTTTTATTTTTTACTCCTTACCTAGTTTTTCATCCGAGATGACCATTTCGAACCATCCGATTAAATTACCTAGACAAGTCTTGATCAAGTTGATGATGATTGATCAAAAATGTGACCGCTAAAGTGTTAACAAAGGTTTTTCTATTTTTTTGCTCCCGGGGACCACTTTTTCATCCGAGATGACCCATGTTCGAAATCATCCAAGCTATCAACTAGACAAGCACCTGAAAGTTTTATGATGATTGATGCAAAAATGGGGACCCTGAGTGTTAACAAGTTTTTTTATTTATAGCTCCGGTGACCTAGTTTTTCATCCGAGATGACCCCTATTCGAATCTCCCCCTATTATCTAAAAAAGCATCCTGACAAAGTTTGATGAAAAGGGGCTAAAAATTGACCACTAGAGTGGACAAGGTTTTTCTATTTTTTGCTCCTGTGACCTAGTTTTTTTTCAAGATGACCCTGTTCCTCATCCAACAATTGAAAACAAGCTTCTGACCAAGTTTTTTTATGATTGGGTTTAAAAAAATGACCACAAGGGGTTAAAAAAAGGTTTTTTTTTATTTATAGCTCCCGTGACTACTTTTTTATCCCAATGACCCATGTTCGAACTCATCCGAGCTATCACCAGACAAACATCCTGACAAAATTTGATGTGATTGGGTCAAAATTGCTCTGGGGGTTCACAAGGTTTTTTTTTATTTTTTGCTCCCCTTTTGCTTGTTTTTCATCCCAGAGCCCTGTTCGAACCATCCGAGCTTTCAACTAGATAAGCATCCGACCAAGTTTGAGATATTGAGGCAAAAAGCGACCGCTAGGTGTTCACAAGAAATTGTGGACGGCCGGGCGGATTGATGCAAAAATGTGCCGCTAGAGTGTTAACAAGGGGTTTTTTCTAATTTATGTCCGGTGACCTTTTTTTCATCCAGATGACCCATATTCAACTCATCCGAGCCTATTATCTAAACAAGCATCCCGACAAAGTTTTATGATGATTGGGTCAAAAATGTACCACTAGATGGTCCCAAGGTTTTTCTATTTTTTTACTCCTGGGGGACCCTAGTTTTTCATCAGAGATCCCCTTTGAACTCATCCAAGAATTTATAGACAAGCTTCTGACCAAGTTTTATGATGATTTGGTTCAAAAAAGTGACCACAGGTGTTCCCCTTTTTTAATTTATTAACTCCTTTTACCTACTTTCACCGGGGTGACCCAGTTGAACTCATCCAAACTATCACCTAACAAAAAATCCTGACCAAGTTTGATGATGATTGGGTCAAAAATGTGCCCTAGAGTTTCACAAGGTTTTTTCTTTTTTAGCTCTTGTGACCCAGTTTTTCATCCGAGATGACCCTTTCAACTCATCCCAGCTTCAAATAGATAAGCATCCGACAAATTTGATGATGATTGAGGGGAAAAATGCGACCCGGGGTAGTGTTCACAAAAAATTTTTTGGGGCGGCCCCCAGGACCGACGACGGACACGGGCATTCACCGATCCTAAAAGCTCACCCTGAGAAAACTCAGGGGACTAAAAAAAGGGTTTAAAAATTTTTAGCTGATAAAAAAATAAAAAGCAGTTAATATCACACCATTTTTTAATAATCTTCATTAAAGAAATATTTTAATTGTCAAAACTTAATGATAATTACAGAAAAAATGGGGAGAAAAATGTCTGCCCAAAATTTTTAAATTTTTGGGGAAACCGTAGGGGGAAACGGTTGGGAAAAAGAACCGCCGGGAGAGGGAAATGGGAAGGAGAGAATAGTCTGTCATTCGTTGTGAAGGGTGCCGTGTTTAAACTAGTTTTTAATATAAAAAATAATACTGCAATATAGCATTTAAAAAAGAAATTTTAAAAGTAAAAAATAAAATATTTGAAACATGCTAAATTTCCTTTCGCCAAAACAAAAGATTCCTTCTGTGATTAATGTACTACAAAAAAAAAAAGATCACTATTTTAAAAAATATGGTATAAAAAAAAAGCCCACTAAGAACACCATTTACAGGTTCCAGCCTGAACAAATACATTACTACATTGAAAGATATTTGGCGTATTTGATGATCAAATTAAGAGCAATTAAGGAAATTCCCGAAAAATTTTTTCTTT